GGACCGGGGGGAGGGGAAGGGGGTTGCAGCCGTGTTGCGCCCCACGAGCACGTCCCGGTGCTGGCTGGGAACAAAAGCTGCTCTGAGCAGCCACTGGAAGCTGGAAGGGGCCTTGGGAAGCTGCTCGCTTGCTTTTCTTTTTTTTTTTTTTTTTTTTTTTTAAATAATGGAAAATATAATGACAGTGCCTAAATTAAAATAATAAAAGAAAGCAGCCGAAAAGCCAACCCAAAATAGGAGAGAAACCCACGTTTCAGGCTGAAAGGGAACAGGCAAGGGATGAAAGGGAAAGCAGAGGCGCTGCGCCCCCTCAGGACCCCCGAGGGGCCCCGGCCCCCAGCAGCCCAAAAATGTTCCCCTGTGCGTCCCCCCTCCTTGCTGGCTTCGCTCCCTTGCACCACACCCAGCGCTGCTGCGTCAGGGGCCACATCCTGCGGGGTCCAGCCCCGGGGGGTGAGAAGGAGCCTCCTCCTCCCCCTGCCCAGAACCGGAGCATCCCTGGGGATCCCAAACTGGAGCACTCCCAGGGACCCCAAACCAGAGCATCCCTGGGAATCCCAAACCAGAGCATTCCTGGGCATCCGGAGCATCCCCAGGCTCCCGGCCACGGGGGGACACGGGAGGTGCCAGCTCCCCGTCTCTGCCGCAATGGCGGGGCCGGGCCAGATCCAGTTGCCGAATTCCAGGCCGTCTGGCCAAGAGACGCTGCTCCGCTCCCGATTCTCCCTCCGGACAACCTGCCGGAGGAGGAAAACAACCGCTCCTCGAACATGGACAAGCCAGAGGCAAGAGACACCCCCCCAGCCCCTCCCAAAGTTGGGGCGCTGGGGGCTATCGCTGTGTGTCCCCCGGGAAAGGGGCCAGCAGAAGCCAGGATTTGGGGAAAAAAGAGTGGGAAAAGGGAGGGGGCCTGCCCAGAGCAATAACACTTGCTTTCCAACGTGAGCCAGAGCCCAGGGACAGCGGAGCTCCGCCGCGCTGGGGTGGCTTCGGGGCAGCCCTCGACGATGCCCATTCCTGTCCCAGTTGCTTTTTAGCCATATTTTTTAAGAGTTGCATCTCAATATCTCACTGTTTAAAGGGAACTGGGTCTGGAAAAAACATCCATGCCCCTTTTTCAAGCTATTTTTGAACCCTTTGGCCTTCGTTCCTCTTCAGGTTCCAGACCATAAATAATAATAACAACACATTTAAAGCCTTTATGCTGACAGCTCGCTGAATCTGCCAGAGCCTTTTAATTCTCCAGATGTCGAAAATCTGACTCAAAAACTTGAAGTTTGGTAAATATTTTGTGTGTTTTTAATTTCACGGCGATTGCTTTTTATATCACATGAAGCAGCAGAATAAAAATACAAAGTGGAACAGCTATTCCTGGCGCTGCGGGGGGGGGAAAGGAGAGGAGGTGCCCACCGGCCTCATGTGCCAGCATGCGGCCGGAGCATCCCCGGGGCTGGGCTGTCCGTGCCAGGGCTCTGTGCCAGGGGTCTCAGCGGGTGGGTGGTACCGGCACGCAGCCAGCTGTGGAAACACCACGACTGCAGGAGGCCCCTGCAGCCCCCCCGGCTCTGACCTGGCCTGGGCTGCTCCATCTTGGCCAGACTTGGATTTATTTGGGTGCTCAGATCTGGTGTCAGGCGCAGTGACATCCCCAGCTGCAGTGTGCTGCCCTTACCCCCCATCCCATATCCCATATCCTGTATCCCACACCCCCCATCCCATATCCCATATCCTGTACCCCCCCCATCCCATATCCCATATAATGTATCCCACACCCCCCATCCCATATCCCATATAATGTATCCCACACCCCACATCCCGTATTCCGCACCCCATGTCCCACATCATTCATCCCATATTGCCGTATCCTGCATCCCATATCCCATAGCTGGCATCCTATATCCCATACCTCACATGCCATACCCTATCTTCTGCATCCCGCATCCCACACCCTGCATCCCACACCTCACATCCTATAGCCCGCATCCCACAGCCACATCCCAATCCTATAGCACATATCCCATATTCCAATATCACATCCCGCTTCCCGTGGCCCCCACCGCCTCTC